TGAGTGGTTCTTGTTCATTTTTAGAGACCTGGCGTTTGATTTTTGGAAATTCTGAGAGTCCATTGGAGTGCTTTTTGTTTCAATTTTTATGCAACATGTGTTTTTGCAGTGTAGAAGATTTGCATTTATTGAAAACAGCTATGCACTGAAGAGATGGTGCGGAAAAAATGATATAACTTCAGTTAATTAGAGAATTAAGACGAACAAGAATTGAAAAAATTGGAAAATGTCCATAATAAATGAATAAATATATAAATTTGTTACATTTTCAAAGTTTCTTTTTATTTGCTTTTTGTATACGATAAGGAAAATTTTTTTAATCAGAAAATAATCCTACAAGTGTTTTGAGTAAAAGATTTCCTGGTTAAATATAAAAATTTCTATAAAATTTACAAATGACTATTACGAAAAGGGCAACACCCGTTAATAAAAATTTAATAAGCAACACTAATCAAGCATCGTTAGGACCCACGCTAACCAAGGCACCCGAGAAGCCTCAACAATATACAATAAAAGCTCCTTCGCGCTTCCTTCATCCGCGATTTCACTATTCGCGGATTAAAAAAAATGCGAACAATTTCTATATTCGTGGTTATAAATTTACGCGATCGGTGTTTTTGAGAATATAAACAAACAGAATGAAAGCAACCTTATTATTCAATATATAAAGTATGTATACATATTTTTAAAAGTTGCTGTTCCGTTCTATGGTAAAAGTAGCTTTGCGTGTTTCATTGTTTCCTCTTTCACAATCGTTAAAAACATTGCGATCGAATAACACGTCTCTACCGCTCTTTTTCTAATTTATAATGTCAACTAAGAAAAACGAGTTTCGATGCGAAAAAAAACTGTGTTACCGCTTAAAGTCAAAATAGAAATGCTTGATTGTTTACGCCTTAGAGAGTCATTTGCATCCATATCATGCTCATTCAATGCCAACGAATCAACTGTAAGATCGATAAAAAAATCCGAAGATAAAATAAGGTCGTCTGTAGCTTCAAATTAACTGTCAGCGAAAATTGTTCGTGAGCAAGTATTTAATGCAGACGAAACTGCAATGTTTTGGAAGAGAATGTCAAACAAAACAAACAAGTGCCAAAGACTGTGTCATTAAGCCACTAATGCTTTACAGATCGTTTAATCCTCGGGCTTTATAAAATCAAAACAAAGTCAACCTGCCAGTGTTTTGGCATGCTGATAAGAATGCGTGGGTTACAAGCGCTATTTTTTGCGACTGGTTCCGGAATTGTTTTGTTTCTAAAGTTGAAATTTATTTAAAAAAAGCAGAATTTAGACTTAAACGAACTTCTGGATTTGGGCACTGCCCCAGGTTATCCTCGAGAACTTCAAACTATGCATCCAAATATAAAAGTGACATTTTTACCTCCCAACACGACGTCTTTACTTCAACCTAAGGGCCAAGGAATAATAATCCAAGTCTTTAAGCTCTGTTACATTAGACGAACCTTCAAAATCATAATGGATAGTATGGAATGTAATCCTAATATGAATGTTATGAAATGCAGGAAGAAATTTGACGTAGCAAAATGTATCGTAAACAAAGAAAAATCATTGGAACAAGTGAAGCCACACACATTGAAGTCATGGTGGAAAAAGCTGTGGTCTGCTCTGACTGCGGAAAATGACGAAGAATCTGTGCAAGTTCAAACTTTGACGAAATCGCGAATGGAATATGACGATATGGGTTTGCACAGATAAAATTAAGTGACGTTCAGGAATTGCTTGAATCGCAAGATGAAGATTTGACTGAAACCGACTTGGAGGAAAGGTTAAATTCACAGCCCATTGAAGAAGAGGCTTCAACAAGCACTGGAAACGTGATATTTAATTTGATAAAGCTTAGTGAAGGTTTAAGAATGGCAAATGAGCTTCGCGATTTCTTTATGAACATTGATTCGTTTATTGGACGAAGTCTTATTTTTTAAGAGGCAAATTGCTAATACGACTACTGCGTATCAGTCAGAATTGAGGGAGTTTTTAAAAACTGCCAAACAAGAGAAAATTACAAAATTCTCAAAGCATTGCCTAAGCCTTAAAATTATTAATCAAAATGTTCAAAAACTTCAATTAAATTGATTTTTTTACTTTGTCACCTAGGAACGTATCCCCTATAATCTCATATAAATTACCATTCCGTATTCACGACTTCTGTATCGCGGCATATTTGTGGAGCATATACCCCGCGAATAAGGAGCCGAAGTAAAATCGCTGCAAATAATAACATTCGGAACTACAATCAATATATGTGTTGTAACGAGTTTTCTTGGGCGGGGTATAACTCAGTCACTCCAAGGTTCGTTGCAAGAAAATTTAGAATAAAAATAATCCGTACCGTCGGGGGGAATGGTGTACAAATTCCTTGATTTATTATTTCCTTTTTACTGGAGAGAAGTACAGCGATGGGTAGAAGCTGGCTATCGCAAGGAACCAGCGAGGTGACCCGACTTCTGGGGTGGCTTGCACGTGATGAGAGATTGACTTCTTATATTATTAAAACTTTTCCTTTTGGATTATCGCGACGCGCTACAGAGAAACGGAAACGTTGCAAGTGTCATAGCGGCCTTAGCTCTCAGGGCCGGCGGTTCGTCCCTGATTGGTGTGTGAGTGCAAAACTAACAGAAGAAACGTCTCTCAGTTCTTCAGGGATGGCGATTAAAGCTGAACCAGCTCATCCCCTATCCGTTAAGTCAAATGTCCTGAAAGTCCTTCAGGGATGGCGATTAAAGCTGAACCAGCTCATCCCCTATCCGTTAAGTCAAATGTCCTGAAAGTCCTTCAGGGATGGCGATTAGAGCTGAACCAGCACATCCCCTATCCGTTAAGTTAGAAAAAAAACTCTTCGTACAGGTCAACTTGTAAAATTGTCTGTGGGTACTTACCGTAGACGACTATGACACCAAACTGAAAGATTCTGCGCGATGTGCTGCTCTTTTATAGCTGCAGTCTCGTTCGCTTGTCCCATTGCCAACATGCTCTTCGTGTTTACATATGCTTAGGTGTACGCTTAGCTTAGGTTGGCTGCAGTCGCAACCTTAGTTACGACTTGCATGATCCTGCTTATACATAACTTAATATCAGCTTACGTCTAGCTTATCGCTATGTTTGTTCATATGTCTGCTCAACAGGCACCCAGGTACCAAATCGCGTGATTCAATCACCGTTAGGTATGTGAGTGCTTGTCCCTTTCTATGCCTTTGTGTTTGCATATGCTTTGCTTTGTGTGTTTCTACATGCTTGGCATGTGTGATCGTGTCTTTGTACATTCTATGTATGCAGTTTATGCATTGTCGTATGTTCTTATTTTTTTTTCCCCTACCTAAGTACTTGCTCCTGTAAGTTTGGTATACCCTAACGGTGTTACACATTCTGCGCATTTTACACATAGCGATTCTTGCTGAAGTTTGTTCGTTTTGCATGTATCGATTTTCTGCCTAAGGCCAGTTCTGCATGTTTCGTTTGCCCTAACGGTGCTATCAGCTTGGTACATTATTTGAAGATTTAATGTGACCTAACGGTGCTATATCTTTGTGCAATGCTGCTGTAGCTTCTGTGTATGTTTGAGCTGCGTTCATACCGTTTCGATTTTACCTAATTGTATAAATCGAGTTGTGCTCTTACACTTATATTTTAATACATAGTGGGTTCTTAAACCTATGCTCTCTACATTTGAGTTCTCAACTCTTGCTTTTTGTTTTTACACATTGTGGGTTTTTTTCCTTATGCTTTTGGACACTTTGAGTTTTTTTCTTATAGTTTTATACATTTGAGTTTTTAATTCTGTTATTAAACATTTTGAGTTCTTACGTGTGTTCATACTTTTGAGTCTTTACTTGGTCTTTCATACATTTGAGTTCTTAATCCTGCTATTAAACATTTTGGGATTTTACTTGTGTTCATACTTTTGAGTTTTTTACTTAGCCTTTCCTACATTGGAGTTCTTAATTCTACTATTGATCATTTGAGATTTTGAATCTAAGCTTTTATTCGTTTGGGTATTGATTTCTTGAACCTAAGCTTTTCTTTTTTTTTTTACATTTGGGTCCTTGACTCTGCTATTAAACATTTTGGGATTGTGAACCTAAGCTTTTATACATTTGGGTTCTTGGCTTATGCTTGTGTACAAATTGATTTCTTGAGTCAAATGACTTATGCTGGAGGAGATTGTTCATGCTATATTACCCCAGACAGACGTTTACGGACAGCTCGAACTGACAGGTGGTTCGCTGTGGGCAGCTATTTCAGGCGGACGGACTTGTATTCCGTAAGGAAGCAAAAACGGTTCCTTACAGTGTATAACATAAATAATTGTTCGACGTATAAGACGATTCAATTTTTAGATTACCAAGACACAACTTAAATCCATAATGATTATTTTATTTAAATGTAATTGCCATGTTTTCTGAACTATAATTTTGGCAGCAACGACAACAAGTCCAAAAAAATTTAAAGGGTTAAATATGTGAGACGCGTTGAAAAAAATGGACCTTTTGTTATCTTAAACGATTCACCAGACTTTTTAATTTATTTTCAGTAACGATTGATGCGACGTTCTTCTTCGATTATTTAACTTTTTGCGAGCGGTCTCGAAAGTGATTCAAGTGATTCAAGTGATGGCTCTTTTGCTGTGCTAACACCCTCTCATAAATTCATAACATTGCTCAAAGCAACTATTTCGTACCTGAACAAAAATGATTAGCAGCCTTTTTGGCGAATAAAAGTTCAAAGTCTATGTGGAAAGGCATGAATTTGATGACGAATGCTTATAACATTATTAGATAATGCACCTAAAGGGCATCGAACGTTTTGTACACAAGGAGGGTAAAGTAGATTGCATAATTCTTTCTTCTTTTGCTTCTATTCATCGTTTAGTAATTTCTTTACGCTTCTTTAACTTTTCTTCTGCTGAAATAGTGTTGATTGTGATTGGTTGAGCATAAGGCAGCTGCATTTTTTTACCACCTTCATTATAATAGTCGATGTTATTCCACCTTTTTAGCTCCTGAATATGATGACGCATAAATCGCATTTAAATGGATCGGGTACTTCATTTGTAATAAACGGAACAAGGAAGGCAGTGCACTTATAGCTGCAAATGAAAGTAAATAAAAAATCCTACGAAACCATTTGAATACTTCCCAGTCACTTCTCACTCGACAATGAGTCAGATTAGCTAAAGGCTCAAAGCATTATCTAAAATTCTGAAACCTGCAGAATAATCACTTATTTATAGGTTAACTTTCTCTCCCCGGCAGTTCATAAACGTTCTTTGCAAGTATGTATAACTTTCGTGTCGATTTCGTTACTATCATTTATATTCAAATGAAAAGACAGAAAGGGACAAATTTTTGCTTATATTCAATTGCGGCTGTCAGAATCCAAAAAATAACAGTTAGCTCTCGTCTCTGATAAATAAACAAACTATTAACGAAGTAGTGGGCAAATATTCAATCAATAAATTGGAAAAACAAAAAAAAATAAACTTTCGAAAATTGATCATAAGCTTACTCTTCTCATATATGTTATACATTTTTTGCAAACTGAAAAAAAGCTCAATAGTATAATGGACAATATTTGCATAAGGATGAAATTTATCAATTAATTTAAAAAAAATTATGCAAGTAAAATAATTTTTAGTGCATATATTAAAGCATTTAAATTGATTAAGCTGGTATTTGCAAAATTTAAAAATTTTTTTTTTCTTTTTAGATCTAAGCTTTTTCGCGTTTGCGTGTGATTACCGAATTATACACAATGAATAATTATGCCCCAATGCTCGTATTTAAAAGTTTGCAAACTGGAAATGTTGAATCGAATAGTTAAAACGGCGGCATAATCCAATGGGCAGAAAAGTCTTTAAAAGCAAATCAAAGCAAGAGTGAGACAAGTAGCGCTACACATCGCAGACTATGTTCGTGCCTTAACTGCAAAATCAACAAACTGAATTTAAAATAATCATCAATAAGAGCGAGAAAAGTCTGCCACAGTACCGAACTTTATTAAATTTGTATATACGAAATTTTGCAGTTCTGATTTAATATTGAAACTAGATATCAATCTTCACTTAATTACAAATCTACTTCTTTTTTTCACTTGAATAATATTTATTACCAAGTGAATATTCCTTAAAGTATTCTGATCCGTTTTCATCATATTCTAGTTTTGTGACAAAATATTTAGTACAGTCGTTTAAATTAACAAAATCTCTCGCTCCGAACCAGCCGTCCAAGCTAGGAACCTGAGATTCTTTAATAGAAAATACAGATTTGGAAGGCCGCATTTCTTGGAGTTCTTTCAACAGTCTGTTCTTTAACCCTAAATAGAGAAGAGTAAAATATGGGTAATATTTATACACTAAGAATTTAAGAAACTTACCTGGTAATTGTGAACAGCCTCCAGTTATAAAAATATTACTAGCCAACGTTTGTTGCTCGTCTAGTGGAAATGCATTAAAGACAAAATCTATTAATTCAGCTAGGCCGGTTTCACTCATACCAATCATACTAGGCTGAAAAAGCAATTCAGGCGCTCGTAAAGACTCCACACCCACGTGCAGCTTTGAAAAATTGGAAGGTGAAAGACCATTACAACAAAAGTATGCGGTAAAGGGTAAATTTTTGATTAAGACAAATTAAAATGTCGACTTTTTGTGTAAGTTTACATAGTAACCAATATAATAATTTTGATAGTTTGTCGAGAACCTTATAAATTGCACCCCGTAAGAACAGTAGGAGTAATTCTAACATGTTTTATATATTTTCAAATTGTCATTTCCATTTCGTTTTTTGTACCATTAAAAAGTTTAAGAACACAGAGGTAGATACTCTGCTTGGAAGTAGTGAAATTATATATGACTCTGTATGTAGACAATAGCAAGAGAGTGTTGTTATTTTATTAAGCCACATTTGTTGTTGTTTGTTACACTGCTGAGAAATGTTAAATCCCTTAGTAAATTTTAAATGTCTCTTAAAAAGAAGGTTCTATTTCACAGACAATACCCAGAAAGAATTTAAACAATGATGTTGTGGTTATAGTTCCAACAACTTTGTTCCCTAAATACAAACATCTATTCATAAATTACATAACCAACATTTTATAAGACTTGAAGATCTGTACAGTCTTGGAATTTGCACAATTTAAATTATGTAGACGAGCATTTAATATAAATGACTTAATTTTGGTAGTAGACGATCTAGCTTCTGCAAGAAAATGCTATATTTCATGAAAAATACACGCTTAATGTTAAAGTCTTGACGACACAATAAGTTAGATTATATGAAATCGCAAGGTAGATTCTATTTTAATATCTCCTGCACCCATACCATACAACGAAAGCGATGTCTTAGGATCAAACGTGAATCGTTCAAACCAACTGCCATTTGCAAGCATCGAAAATAAATACTTGAATCTTTTTACCTGATATAATTCTGCCGTGTTCTCTGCGCAATTCTGTTGCTGTTCGACTATGTTTGCTTGGTGGTGTTTAAGGATGTTTTCATATTCCATCAACTTCTCGTTTTCAGTTTCACTATCACTTTCATTTTCGAAACTGATTTTTTTGTAGACATCCCAATCTCTGTCGTCTTTACCAAATTCATCAGTACCTTTTTCATCAGAAGCTAACAAAGAAATTATACGCATCCGTTCTTGCGACGCTAGAGTATGACGTTTCACCATTTCCTGGCGTTTTCTAGAGCGAAATGTTCTTTTTTGCAACAATTCTTCATGCTTTCTTTTAATATCATTTAACCAAACGGCTAATGAAACACCGGAAGGGGGCTGATATGATTTAATACTTCGGGGACGACTGCTTACCACATTGTTAGATAAGGCGCCTGAAGGGCCTCCACCGTTCTGCACACAAAGTACATAAAATATACATCGCATAATTCTTTTTTAAACTTATTACCTCTTCTCGTTTTTCTTTCAGCCTTTTTTGATTTGCTTCTACTAATCGTTTAGTAATTTCTTTACGCTTCTTTAACTTTTCTTCTGCTGAAATAGTGTTGATTGTGAACGGTTGAACATAGGGCAGCTGTATCTTTTTGACATTTTCATTGTAATAGTCGATGTTATTCCACCTTTTTAGTTCCTCAATATAATCGCGAACTATAAAGCTGTGATTGTGGAAGATACTTTCCGTGCGTGTCAAAGTAATCGCATTCAAATGGGCAGGGTACTTCATTTGCAATAAACGGAACAAGTAAGACACCATTTCGTAGCCGCCTAAATTCAGGCGACGTATGTGTTTGTATTTGAGTTGCCCTCCTAATATAGGCATTACATGGGTAGTGTGATAACCGAGCGACAAAATTAAGGCGTTGCTTTCATACGCGTGTTTATTTCTATGCCAACTGAACATGGAATCAATACCGTAGCTTACAGCAGGTACTTCATAGCATTCAAACAATAGTTCGTTCAGAGCTGCAAAAGAAAATCAATAAAAAATACTGCGAAATCACTTGAATATTTTTTAGTCACTTTGTCGACAATAAGTAGGATTAGCTAAGGGCTCTGTTATCAGTACGGGAAATGGTTTCCAATCGTTCCCAGTCCCCAGTTTGTTAAATATGGAATCAAATATATGCTCTTGATATATCGGGTGTGTGACCACATTCCTTTCGAACTGATTTTTTATAAGCAAACGCATAGCATCCACGTCAATTTCATCTCCTATTTGGTAAACATTTTCATTGGTATGGCCATTTGGATCTTTCCGTTTATCCTTCCGTGGTTTCGCGATTAGATTTCGAAATTCCAATATGGGCTTATCAGAATTACTATAACCAACGCGGCATTTGTAAGAGCCTTTTACAACATAAGGTAGCAAGTACATTTAAATTTTGGAGGTATGCATGATTCTCATAATCTCACCATTATCTATGACTATAATTTTTTGGTTTGAAAGCATTGTCTAAAATCCCGAAACTAGTCTTTTTTTCACTTTTGTCTTGCTATACTCTTGACGTTTCACATAAAACTATATCAATATAAAGTGTACCATCCGTAAACGCTTGGAAAGCTTCACAAAGGGTAGCCAACTGTTATAAATAAGTTTATTTGTTGCAAAAAGCAAATAAAAAGGTAAAATACCTGCGGAGAAATTTAGTTTTTGTTTTCGGGGTTTTGCTGATAATGTGCTTGTATTGGATGGTATTCAACGTAGTAGCGCGTATGCGCAGCGCTTGTTATGTATCCTCTCCTCCCTTTCAAATGAGATATAAGAAAGTTAACTTTATGAAGAAACTTGCTTTAGAAGAGTACGGTTCTGACTCTGTATGGTTTCATTTTCGCTTTTCGACTTTTTTTGCTATATGTGTCGAAAAGACGTGGGAAAAACTCCCTTTTACAGCTATTAAACCAAGTGTAAGCACAATAGATGCTGATGGCCATTTTGTTACTTTTTCTCGTTTAACAGAAATGCTAACGGCTGCTTTGTTACTACTTTGCGTTAGGAGTGGTTGTTCTGGCTTTTAAAGCAGAATTTCTAAGAGAAATCACCTGAATTTGAAAATAATATAAATTTTAAAAAAAATGTTTATTTACAAACAGCTGAAACAAACAAAAAAATTCGAAACTTGTAAATTAAGTAATTTTTTTAGTTCTTATTCCAATTGTCTAATTAATGAGCTTAATTCGCCAAAGCTTGCGATCAATTCTGCATCGTCAACCTTTCCATGCTTCCTGATATTCTCTTGCTATGATTGAAAAAATGCAATGGGTCAATAGAAAGTAAAAATCTATTATTCTACTGGATATATTGATATTATCGTCAATTGATTTAATTCTTTCTATTATGCAAACAAAAAAAAAGTTTAAATGCTGTCAAGAAAAAATCAAATACTGTTGAGACAATTGTATATATCAAGCGGAATGGTTCCTTTGTTCGTATTACGTATTTTATCAGCAGGGAAACATCGAATTTGGCGAAAAACGTGTCTTGCGAGATGTAGGAGAGCTCTATGGGAAACTTTAAATTCTCTGTGCGTATATAAATGACATAATATATATATGTCCACAACGTAAATGAAACTTACATATTATTGCACGTACATTTTACCAAATGTTGAGAATGTCAAAAGAGGCTTTGAAGTGCATCTTAGGAAAAATTGGTGCGAGTAACGTTTTGTTTACGTTCTTGGGTACGTTGTTGTAGGTCAAACGTTGATTCCTAACATGAATGACTGCCCGCACCAAACGAAGGACGTTTCACAAACTGAAAAGGTATACACAGCTGGAATGGTGCATTTCACAACTGAAATTAATAGCACTAGCTAAAATTAGTCATTACGAACGACTTACTGGAATGACTTAATTAATGTTATAGACTCAACACAAGCGCAAGGACAAAAAATTAATACAAGAAGTATCTAATCAAATGCCTTAACAATATCAATTAAAACATCTTTTCAAGAGAAGGAAGCTTGCTCTCGACGTCTATTGATTGAACGTCATCAGATTAAGTTCGAAACGCAAATCAGCCAAAAATATGCGAACATCGAACGGCAGATCTATAAAAATTGAATAAAACTAGTCAGGAGACATTCAAGGAGAGATAAATGCTTATTTTTTATACATTTATATATATAAGATTATATATTATATAAAAGCACTTGTATGAATATATTGTCAGAAGTAACAGAAAATGTTCAAATTACTGAGAAGAAATACTTTTAATATTTTAATACAAGACCCCGAATACGACGATAAGTTAGTTAATCTATAATACATACACATATGTTCTTGCATATAAACATATAAATATTTTATTCGTAAGGTTTGCGACCATCTGAAAATTATGGACGTAAACTTTTGATTTCATGGATTAAAGCATCTTACTTTGACGCCGATGCCAAGTTTCGTTAGAGATTAATTGAGGCGAATTGGAGGAAACATTAACCGCCATGGCTTCTGCACTTCCAAATTTAATCGTATTGAAGTAAAATATATAAAGTATAAATCCGTTCTCAGATGTTATCTGAAAAATAAGCAGTTGGCGTTTATTTATATAACAGAAAACTAGGAGTGAGTTTCACTTTATTTTAAAATATACATTGTCAACAGATAAATTCATGTCTTAATGTATTAATATATTACATAAAATAATGATAAAACGATAGATGTTAAGCTTTAAAACTTCAATAAGGAATGAAAATATGAATTTATATGAGTTATATAAAATTATTTCACTTGATTTTATTGTGTCAAATGTTTAAAAAATTTTTTCCATATATTACTGTTGTTCCGACAGAATACAGAAATTACTTAAGGTATTGTATATTTTGGAATCGATATATAATTTTAAATGGCTTTTTAACAATAATTTACTTTTTTCTGCCTTTTCGTTTACATATAGCAACGAAATCGACACGAAAACCTTAAGTAATCGCAGCAAGAACGCTTATCAACTGCCGTCTTGGTACCCAACTAAAGTTAACGCAAGTCAACGACACATGACTTACTAGGTTGAGAAAAGTAGTTCAGACAGGACACAAACTTCTTTATTAATCCTTAACATACATAAAACTTTATGTATATTAAGCGTATATATGAGATTCTGCGGGACTGATTTAATATTCACACTTGAACTATTGGACGGCACATACAAATTACACATTACTAATCTGTTTCTTCTTACTTGAATAATATTTATAAAGTGAATGTTCCTTAAAATAGTCTGATCCATTTTCGTCCCATTCTATTTTGTGACAAAATATTTGGTACAATTGTTTAAATTAACAAAATATCTTGCTCCGAACCAGCCATCCAAGCTAGGAATTTGAGCTTCTTTAATAGAAAATATAGATTTAGAAAGCCGCATTTCTTGGAGTTCTTTCAACGGCCGATTCTTTAACCCTAAATAGAGAAGAGTACAATGTGGGCAATATTTATACGCTAAGAATTTCAGAAACTTACCTGGTAATTGCGAACAGCCTCCAGTGATAAAAATATTACCTGTCAACGTTTGTTTAAAGGGCAAAGACCGTTAGCGTAAACTTTCGAATAAGACAAATCGAAACTCCGAATTTTAGTGCAAATAAACATTGTAACTAATATAATTATTATTATTATTATTTTAATTTTAGACTAATGAAATAAATTCTTAGACTAAAAAAAATACATTGAGCACTAGCAACACAGGCTATCGGCTCTAATTTAAATAAATGTACATTAGATAATGAGCATAGTAGTATTAATAAAGTAATATATTAAATTGATATTCTGTTCTGAAGCTGATTGTAGAATGTTCAAAGGGTTAATCGTTCCAAATGTAATACTTCTAGTCAAGGAGAAGTTGAGGCAGTCGCAAAGAATGTGCAACTAATATAATAATTTTCATAGTTTATCGAGAACCTTATATTTTTACACCAAATAATAATATCAAGAGATGTTTTGTATATATCTACAATTTCACATGTCACTCTCGTTTCGTAGAAATAAACGTTTTACGAATGCGTTTAGTTTAGATGCTTCGCTGAACTATACTGTTATTATATATGACACACTCTGTGTCTAAATAATAGCAAAATAATATTGTTATTTTGTTATGAACTAAATTTGTTGTACTACTAACAAATTGTGTCAATTGAAAATTTTTAAATGTGCTTCATTTATAATTTGAAAAGAAGCGTTTATTCCACCGCCTCAATTTTAAGACGGACCATTAACACTTCTGGCATACGGAGACACACCAAAGCTTACGATTGTGATGGCAAAACTAAAGTCAACATTTTCAATACGCAGCAGGAATTGGGCATCATGATCACTGGTTACAGTCAATATGGATTTCGTTTAAACAACGATGTTGTGGTTATAGGTCCAATAGCTGTGTTTCCTAAGTATATATATGTATCCATAAATTACATAACCAAAATCTTATAAGTTTTGCAGATCTGTATTGTCTTGGAATGTGGATAATTTAAACGATATAAACGAGAATAGTTTATCATTATTTACGACTTTAGAACCTAAAATAGATGTCTTAATTTTGGGAGTCGGCGATCAAACTCCTACATCTAACTTCAGTAAAAAAATATTATATTTCATGAAAACACATAAGATTAATGTTGAAGTTTTGAGGACAGAACAGGTTAGATTATATGTAAATATTAGAGAACATTTAACCTTATCATTCATTCTTTGAAGGCTTGCGCTACTTTCAACTTCTTGAATGCTGAAAACCGCATGGTAGCTTCTGCGTTAATACCTCCTGTGCACATAACATACAACGAAAATGATGTCATGGGGTCAAATGTAAATCGTTTAAAACAAGTCTCATTTGTAAACAGCGATAAATAAATTTGATTTTTTGCGTCATGTAATTCTGTGCGCTATTCTGGTGTTCGATTATGTTTACTTGGTGGTGTTTTAAGATGTTTTCATATTCCATAAACTTTTCGTTTTCAGTTTCGCTGTTAGTTTCATTTTATAAACATTCCAATCTCTTTCGTCTTTACCAAATTTACTGGTATCTCTTCCATCAGAAGCTAGGAAAGAAATTATATGCGTCGCTTCTTGCAACGCTAGAGTGTGACTTTTCATCATTTCCTGGCGTCTTCAAAAGCGAAAGGTTGGTTTTTGTAACAATTTTCTTCTATTCTTATTAATATTATTCAACCAACCGGCTAATGGAATATCGAAAGGAGCTTGATATGAATTAATACTTTGGGGACAATCATTTACAATATTGTTTGTTAAGGCTCCTGAAGGACCTCCATCGTTCGTTACACAAAGTACGTAAAATATATATCGCATAATTTTTTTTTAATCTTATCTCTTTTATTAATCGTTTAGTAATTTCTTTACGCTTCTTTAACTTTTCTGCTGCTGAAATAGTTGAACAGTGGCAGGTGTATTTTTTTAACATCTTCAATATAATCACGAACTATTTAACCGTGACTGTAGAAGATACTTTCCGTATGTGTGAAAGTAATCGTATTTAAATACGCCGGGTACTTCACTTGTAATAAACGGAAGTAAGATACCATTTCGTAGCCATTACATGGGTGGTGCGCGAAAATTAAATCGTTGTTCTCATCCCCGTGTTCGCTTTTGTGAACATGGAATCAACGCCATAGCTAAGAGTAGGTACTTAATAGCATTTAAGTAATAGTTCGCTCATAGCCACAAATGAAGGTAAAAAACACCCTACGAAAGCTTCTGAATGTTTTTCAGTCACTTTGTTGACAATAAGTCGAATTAGCTAAAGGCTCCGGAAAGGAAATGGTTTCCAATCTTTTTTCAATCATGTATAACTCTCTTTATATTACTATTACCTATGACTATAACTTTATTTGAAAGCTTTGTCAAAGGTTTTGCAACCTACAGTATAATAAGGCATCTGTAAGTCAACTTTCATTCGCCAAATTGATAAACGTTTTGTTTGCGATCACATAAAACTTTCGTGTCAATTACGCTCCTTTGCTTCATGTGTAAATGAAAATGCGGAAGAAAGTAGCACATTTTTTTATTATTTAATTGCGACTGTAAAATCCGAAAAGTTACAGCTGTGGAAAAAATAAATTTTAGGAAATTGATTATAATTATACACTACTTACACATTTTATATAGTTTTTGTAAAATGGAATAAAACTGCATAAGGAACAAATTTATCAATTAATTATTAAAAAAAACTTTCTATATATAATAGTTTTTAGTGTATTATTTTAATTGACGAACCCAACCATTGTGTGATTTCATAAAACAATAGATGTACATTTTGCGTTCCTTTAGCTCAACGACAGAATGATAATAGGGATTCTTTAAATGCAAGTTTACCGATAATCCTTCGTGTTCTCTTTTTTTGATTTAAGCAGTGCTTATTCTAATTTTATAAAATTAGTAACCTTTGCTTAAGTCGCCTATGTTTTTACTTTAGCTAGTTATGGGAGAAATAATCGGTTCAATCATAATCAGTATGTAGATTAAAACGTAAATTTATTGGTATCATTGCTATTATTAATTAGTGGAAATAAGAGTTTATAATACAAGCATATATTCATTATATCTTATGAGTCAAATCTTTCCATAGTAGTGCATTTCCCTCCACCCGTAGAACAGGGCAGAAGCCATGCCACTTTCTGTTTTTACTTTTTTTTATGTCTTTAGAAGGCCCAGTGCAACAAACGTAGTGCTTAAGAACGGCATGCCAACTACAGTTAAAAAACGTAAACGCAACGTATGTGCTGTTAAAGAAAATAATCGTGGACGATAGTTCGTTGAATACCGAGGTGTTGAAGCTGAAAAATTGCAATTTCTTCTTTCGTCAGATCCCAACTGATTTCGAGGATGATGACGAGGAACTCAGTTAAATACTTAATGTTTTTGCTCTAATTTGATCTAGAAGGAGATAATTTGAAATATGATATAAATAAATACATGCAACGTATATAAATACACGCATGTGTTACAAATATATTCAAAAAAAGTACACATCCTTGGATAGTGTAACGGGATCGGAAACATCTAGTCCGTCCTATAACAATGCTTTGTCGCAAAAGTTCGATCTCCCTCCATCAAATGGTATAAAATGGTGCGTTGAAAATTCGGGAAGGGTGTTTGTCAGTCCGCTTTTAACACAAGTGTCATAATAACGGCATGCCGTTATATGACATCGCATGATCTTGCCGTTTCTGTGCATAACAGAGGCTAGCCGTTAGGTATGCGATAAAGCAGAGAGAAGGAAACCCATGTGAAGAAATTCGGTGGGAGTTTTCTGTTTGTTGTGCTGATGAGTGAGTCGTAAAATAGCAGCACAAGTGGTTGAAAGATTTTTTTTTTTTTTGGGTATGTTGAACAGAGATGGCCTAAGCCAATAGTCCAAATAATAAAGTGTTGTAATTTTTAGTCACGATTATGTATAAAATGTAACAAAAAAATAAGAGCGGCCGTAATAACTGGAGTGAGCATGTTAAATGTAATTGTGTGTGTGTGTGTAATTGTGCTTATTGAGTTCTAGAAAGTTAAACAGTGTTGCAAACTTTGGCTGAAAACGAAAAGCAATGCTATGGTAATAGAAGATTATTAAACACAAAAACGAAAGAAAAAAAAGGAAAGAAGAGGAAAAAAAAATTCTAAAAAGATAAATTAGCTTTTCTAATAAAGCAAGTTAGTTCCCCGAGATGACGTACGTTTTTTGCTGCAAAGAGATCGAGGAGACAGCCATATAACTTGAAGAAGCTAAAGGAATCTCTAATGCCGTCAAGCCTGTGACATCTGAAGATTAGATGCTCAGTAGACTCAACAACATTGCAAACTTCACAAACATCACATGGTATAGCGCGAATTATTTTTAAATTAAGTTTGTCATAAGTGTGACCACTCATGAGTCTATAAAGAATTTTGATTTCCCAGGAATTAAAAGAAGATACAGAGAAGGGTTTGAATTGAAATGTGGGATTTAATTTATAGAAAAGACGATTGGATTTAACGCGCGCGATTACTTTAAATTCGTCGTTTAGCTGTTGAAGGAAGTGGTTGCGAATTGCCCGAATTGCTTCATTGGGATTGTATTTGATGGACAAAATTGTCCCATCAACACGAGCTCTCCCTGCATGAAAGTCGGCTTTTACATTTAAAAAAAAGCCGCAGTGGCCAGGTACCCAAACGAGGTGACAGTCATCCACTTGAGATTCGTGCAACGTCTTGTGAATGTCAAACACATATTGATTTTCTGCATCTCTTTTATTTATTAGAAGTAGAGCTGACCTGCTGTCGGAAAAAATAACAAAACGTCTGATACCATCGGAAATAGCAACCATGATAGCATGTCGAATGGCGAGCAACTCAATAAAAGTAGAGGAAAGTTCCTCTTCCACTTTGACTCGAAGTATTGTTTCAGATAGATGTTTCACGACCGAGAAGCCAGACACATCATGTCCGACGGAACCGTCAGTGGCATATATATCATATCCGTTGTTGTAATAAAAAAGGAGCTTTTCTTGGCATAACAACCTTATACAAGAGAAGTTGACATTTTGTTTTGAGGTAGAGATCGGTTCGAGAATGTTCATGAAGACTTTGCATTTGCTGGTAATGAAATTCATGGGGGGAATTGAATCTAACTTATCAAAAATATGATGAAGTTTTTGATAGCAAAAAGTATAGCTGCAAGTGACAGTATCACTGAGAGATATAATTTCCTGAAAAAAGTAAGGATTTATCATCTTGACTTTAATTAACTCTTTGGCAGTGCAAAAAAGGGCTCTTTCGGAAACCGGCCATTCACCAGATATGACATTGAGAATATGTTGAGGAGTTGAGGGATTCAATCCAGTACAACGCTTCAACATTCGGTTTTCAAATGCTTGTATACGTTCCTCAATATATTTTGGGAAATAGCAACATGTGGAATGTCCAAATTCAATTTTGGACATGACTAAAGATTTGTAAACGGTCAAAGCATTTTTGGGATGCAAGCCTGCCTGATCGTTTGTCATGAGTTTGATGATGTTGCATCCAGACTGACAGTCTTTGAACGCCTTTTCATAACGCCCACGAAGGGTTAAGCTGTCATTTAAAATTCTCCAAAGAAATCGAAGAGATTTTACCTGATTAACTTGGGTACCTTTGATAAGAAGTCTGATTTCACGTTTAGAACCTTTGGCAAAATGGATAGTGTTCGTCTTGCTGGGGTTAAAATATAAATTAAGATCAGCGCATGCATCGAAAAACAAGTTCGCTTTCATCGAGAGGTTATTGACAGCTGCTGGAAAAGATGAGTCCGCAGATACGATTAGAAAATCGTCTGCATATTGAAAAATGTGAGTTTTGTCATCTTGAAGATCATGCAAAGAAGCTGCGTATAAATTGAAGAGAATGGGGCTTAAACAACTGCCTTGTGGGATACCACCGCATATTTCAACTTTTTCGGTACCCATCACCAACACACGCTTGGATAAAAAATTAAGTATCCACAGCCGCATTTGAAGAGGAATCGAAAAGTTTAGGAGAATTCTACCGAGCTTAATCAAGTTGACACAGTCATAGGCTTTGCTGATGTCCAGGGAGAGCATGACAACCATTTTCCCTCCTTTTTTTAAGCTGGCTATGAGAAAATACAGTTCGTTAACGCACATATTCGTAGATTTGCGTCTTTGATAGGCGTAAGACCGAGCTGGAATAATGTTCTTAGTTTTCAGGAAAGCAGTTAGTCTCTCCTTAACCATGAGGTTGATGGTCTTTATGAATACAGATATTAGTGAAATTGGTCTGAAGCTACTTAAATCATTCATCAGTCTTTACCTGGCTTGGGAATGGGAACTATTTTGATGCAACGCAAATCAGAGGGTATAAAGTTGGTGGACCAGCAGTTGTTAATTGCATGCAAAAGCATGCTAAAGCTTCCTCCAGACGATGCTGTGAGCATGTCATACTTGACTCCATCACAACCTGCAGCAGTAGCTCTCTTTTTGGAATGTAAAACATACATTAGCTCATGCAATGAAAAGGGTGTGTTACTGATACTAATAAAAGGAATTGAAGGCATTGTAATAGGATTAACAATTGGAATGTAGCTCTTGAGCATATCTAAGTATTTTTTATTATCACGGTCATTCCATACAGCACAACCGCTTAATTTTCGACTAGAATGTCGATGGCCATTGATATAATTCCAGAAGAAACGCGGGTTGCCGTTACCACATAACTCTTTAATAGCGATGGCTCTATGTGCCCTTTTCGCCTTTCTAACTGCAGACCTCCATTCTTTCAGTATTTTCATATATTCAATGTAGTTGGCTGGATTGGCATATTTACT